TTCGAGGTCTTGTTTCACTGAACATGTAAGCGGTAGGTTGTATATTTGGGAGACACAGCAGCACGATGGTACATGGTGGTGGCTGTTTCCTCGGGAAACCAGCCTTATCTGATCACGCTTCATGTCTGCTGGTTTGCCTTTGGCCAACCTGAGTCAAAGGCAAGCGAGAGAGACAGGTCTTGGAGGTTATGTTCCCCCCAAAACTTAAGAAAATAGGCCTAAAAGACAGATGCTTCTAATATAATGTCTCAACACTTAGGAAACATGAGAGAGTCTCATGGGAGTTTAACCCTTTGAGTGCAGTGGGAATTCAGTGACTCTCCTTCCTGCAGAGCTGCTGCGTTTCATTCAGTTGCTTAACCTAATAGCTTTGGATACCATGAAATCTCGAGGGTGAGCTTCTCTTCCTACACTTGATTTCTTTTTATTTTAATCTTCCAAGGATGCGATAACTTTTGCTTTGTTTTCCCAGGTGCCCAGATAAGCTGTTTTGCACCCAGCTCCTTCTCCTGGCGACAAGCTGCTTATGTGGACTCCTACTGCTGGGCAGCTGTGCAGCAGAAGCAACCATCCCAGAACAATGTACAAAACATTCCCCTGTGGCTGCACAAAGTATGTACAGATCTCCTTCTTCTCAAAGAATTGTCCCCATGTAGAAGCCTGTCTTTGCCTTGCTTTTCTTGCTCCTCTTTTCTGCTATAGTCCTTGGCTTTGACTTAACTCTCTATTTTTATAGAGAATGTTTTCTTTCCCTTAATTCCAAAGAGGGTAGTGCTAGAGAAGGTATCTTCTGCTTTTAAATAAAGGGTCTGTCGTACTATAATAAATATCACCAGTTATCTGACACAAGAGTAATGTTAATGTTGCTGTGTTGCCCTGGAGCTGAGTGCTTCAGGAACTATTTTAAAATAATCAGGATACAAGACACAACAACTGCCCTAATGCTTGTATCAAATGCTTACTTTAGGAAAACAGGATAGTAAAAACATTTTGTGTTTTTATTGTATTACACTTGGCCAGTTTTGCATGGAGAGGAACTCATGGCAGATAAGCATTTTGGGAGAGATCATCACTTATACCAACCGTTCATCACTGGTACCAACATGTTTCACTCTCTTCAGTGTGCTTTTCCACGGGCTGTTCGCTTGCAAACCGTGAGCTGGCTTTCACTGCTCTGGGTAAAGCATCAGCGTACTGAATGCACAGTAAGAGACTTATTTTATGGATAAAAAGTGCAGTAGGTACTAAGATACTTGAGCTGGCTCAAAGTGGTGAGCCGAACTTTGGCAGGAGTTACAAACTCTGAGTAATGCTGTGCCCATGCCTGGAGCTGACTCAACTCGAGAGGCAGCATTGCCCTGCTCGAGCAGTGCTGATGCCAAAGTAAGAAATGCTGTTGGAGCTCTGCAAGTTTGGGGTGTTATGTGCTGCCTTCTCCAGCCCTTTTATTACTTGACCCAGCAAATAACCCCCCTTGGGAGCAGAGAAGAACCTGGTGGTAGAGGGAGCTCAGGTCTGGGACCTGCAGCACCTGTATATCTGGGTTTTGCTGGTGTATCCCGTACCTCAGCTTTTGTTATCCAGTCAGCTGGTGGTATGTCCTCTGAAAGACTGTTCAGGGCTGTCTCTGATTCGTTTGCTGACGCACATCACTAACTGTAAGGATTTACTACTGCCCTCTCCAGTTAGCTCCACTCAAAACCTTGACCAAACGATCTTGTGTTTCATGAATATTAAAGCCAGACTTGTTGGTTTCTAGCCTAAGCTCTTCCTTGCTCAGTGCTCCACTTCGCTTCAGCCAGACCTTCTACAGAGGCCAGTTGAAGCTGCTGGGACATCTCGCAATCAGGAGGCTTGTGTGGGTGGAAACTCCACCTGCAAACCTGAATGTGTGCCTGCCCCTTTCTCTTGAGGGAATGAGTTCTTGTTACTTGATTTCTTTACGTTGAATTTTATGTCATAGTCACCTGCTGGTAGCTGTAACTCTCCTAGTTTGCCAGCCGTGACTAATAGCTTAAGTAGTCATACTTTTATGATGCAACCCACATTAATTTGATGACTGGTGCTTTCTCAGGAATTGATGCAAGGCCCTTCTTCCCACAGTTCCTCAATAGTAGCTTAATGGTATGTGATGTTTCCTTGTAAATACCCTGCAGACTGGCTGCCAGAAGTGTGTCTGAACAGCTGAGTCAGAGCTTGTAGCAGAGGCTGGGTGCCTTGTCTTAACCTCCTAAATCCATGCTTAGTCACCTGCCCTTCCATGGAGCTGGGCACTGGGAGCTGCAGATGCTGTTTGGAGGCCACTATTAATTAATATCTTTCTCCTGGTTGTTAATTGACTTCCAGGCTTAGCAAGTTTCCAGGGAAGGAGCAGTGTTACAGCTATTAATGCTGACCTTTGGTTCCCGCTGTGGTGGGAACCTCTGAAGGTGTTTTGCTATTGTTTGCCAAATAAACAGGGCCAGCAGCTGCTGTCAGTACTGCTGGGTGGCTTGCCGTGGGGGCTGACCGCTTCTGCAGGCAAACGAGGCTTGGGTTGTGTCCTGGTGCAGGCTGTACGCTGCAAGGTACGTACAACCTCATCGCTCTGCAGATTTTGTCTAGATAACCACTTTTAAAATGTGCAGAGCAGAGCCTTTCTGGGAGCACTGTGATGTTAGTGAGACCACAGAGCCTTCCTCAGCTCAGGTGAGAGAAGATTTGACTCCACAGTGCAAGGGCAGGGATGCACATAGAGGGACAGCAGGGATCTTTAGGCCCAGTTTTTCATAAGACAACACTTAAATATTTTTTCCTGCTTTCTGGGCAACAGTGCTTCTAGTTGCAAAGCATCTCAGGTTCTTTCTAATACTCTGATTCACTCAGCATCTCACTATATTAGCATGCTGGGAGGCTCCGTAAGAAATGCTCAAGGAGGTATTATATGACAGGTTTGGGGGAATGAGGTTGTAGGCCTCAATTCCTGATTGAAATGGATAGATTTCCTTATGGCACACTCTCTGTGCTCTGTCAGAAGAGCTGTTGAAGGTTTGCTTTCTAGGACAGTGCTGAGCGTGGCATAGAGAGGAAGTAGGACCATGTAGCTTGTTGGTGAAGAAGCCAACTTGCAGCAACTTGCCCTGCTTTTGTTTGAGGCATCTGGTTGCTCTAAAGGATTATCAAAAACAGGTTGCATTCCAGAAAAACTGAAACCTTCCCGTTTCCCTCCTGTTTCAGAGTACAAGTTTGCTCTGGGATTTTTTTTTTTCAATCAGTAAAATGTATATTTCAATTTTGGGCAATACCTGAAGCTTGGCCACCTTTACTTGCTGTCATTTCTGTTCTGGGAGATCTCTCCCAACACTTAAACTTACCAGTTTGGAAACTTGTTTTGGAGTGGGGAGGAGGAGTGCAATTTTCTGGGTTCCCTGCCTCTCTAGGGGTCTGTGTACTCCCAGAGCATGCCCAGGGCCTTTCTCCTTGGAGAACAGGGGTTTTGAAATTACCAGTGGTCCTGGAATAATACTTCACACTGGATGACCCTTAGCAGAAAGCAAAATGAGTTGTGTACTCAAATGCACAATGCAGGAAACAAACTGTCTGCAGATGGGTAAATGGAAAGAAGAGACTATGTTATGTCCTGCCTATATTCTTAGTTTAATGCTAAGATTTCCTCTCTGTCAGTGAAAAAGCTGACAAAACCTATATTCTTAGTTTAATGCTAAGATTTCCTCCTCTCTGTCAGTGAAAAAGCTGACAAAATTATTTTATGATTGAGTCCTCTGACAAGACTCATCTTCAGGTTTGTCATTGATGAAACTTAGTCTGGTTGGGTTTCACTCTTCTGTTGTCTCTGTTTTCTTCTACGGTTTTGCATTCAGGCCTAGTTCCCTCCAGAGGTTTCTTGTGTATATCTGAAGTGTCAGAACAGAGGTATTGGTTTCTGAAGGTGAGTGATAAAGAGAGACAGACAGTGATGATGTGGGGTGGAAGAGTCATGTATTTGCTCTCTCTGTGCAGATAGTTTGCTTTTTGTCTGTAAAGATGAGTGCTCCACCTGACAACTTATTTTGATAAAACTTAGCTTGATCCTTAACTGAAATAGAAATAAGCTTTTGGCCACTGTGAGTGGGCAGTCCTTGCAGTGTAGTTGAGGAGGAGGCTCTACTGTGAAGCCTTTTTAATCTGTAGTGCACAGAGAAATTTATACAAACACATGCAGGAGAACAGTGAGCATCATCTTACTGGCTCTTGGTAGCCACCAGACGTGGTAGCAACCAAGCAAGTTGAGGAGCAGATGGACATGGAGTGATGACCATTCTGTAGCCCTGAACTCACAGAATCACACAGAATCACAGAATGTTAGGTGTTGGAAGGGACCTCGAAAGATCATCTAGTCCAACCCCCCTGCCAGAGCAGGACCACCTGGAGTAGGTCACACAGGAAAGCGCCCAGGTGGGTTTTGAATGTCTCCAGAGAAGGAGACTCCACAACCTCTCTGGGCAGCCTGTTCCAGTGCTCTGTCACCCTCACAGGGAAAAAGTTTTTCCTTATGTTAATGTGGAACCTCCTGTGCTCCAGCTTGCACCCGTTGCCCCTTGTCCTGTCACTGGCCATCACTGAGAAGAGCCCAGCTCCATCCTCCTGACACTCGCCCTTTCCATATTTATAAACATTAATGAGGTCACCCCTCAGTCTCCTCTTCTCCAAGCTAAACAGACCCAGCTCCCTCAGCCTTCCATCATAAGGGAGATGTTCCACCCCCTTCATTACCTTTATGGCTCTGCACTGGACTCTTTCAAGCAGTTCCCTGAGTAGTACTGGTCCCAGTACCGTCCCCTGAGGGACTCCACTAGATACAGGCCTGTCCCATTGACAACAACTCTCTGACTTCTTTCTTTCAACTAATTCACAATCCACCTCACTACCCAATCACCCAGACCACCCCTCCTCAGTTTAGCTGTGAGGATGCTGTGGGAGATGGTATCAAACGCTTTACTGAAATCAAGATAAACCACAGCCACTGCACTACCGTCATCTATCCAGCTGGTTATGTCTTCATAAAAGGTGAAGCCATGTTGACTGCTCCTAATGACCCTCTTATCCTTGATATGCCTAGAGACAGCACCGAGGATAAGTTGTTCCATCACTTTTCCAGGGATGGAGGTGAGGCTGACCAGTCTGTCGTTACTCAGGTCCTCCTTCTTGCCCTTAGCAATCTGGATAGCTACGATGGAGGTGGCTATGATCAAGAGACTTCTGGGGATTTTTTTAGTTACTCTATTTTGTTATTAATTGGGAAGCATCAAGGAGGAAGATAAAGGTAAGCAAAGTAGAGGTAAAGGGTGCAGGTGGTTCTTCAGAAGAAAGGGATTTGTAGCAGTGTGAAATGCAGGCAAACGGTTCATCTAACTGACAGCAAAAGAAGAAGTCTTTACATGTGGCCCAGCCAGGAGGGGTCAGTTGTCTGGCTCAGGTCTCTGTAAAAGTGCAGGGCAAGTGCTGCCAGACCTGCTTACAGCATTGCATGCAAGGAGTGGGTCTAAAGTCTTTATATGCATGAAGTGAAACTTATCTTGTTGAAAATATTCACTTTTTGTGATAGAATTAAGATTTACCCTGGACCTGTGGGT